TGACCGATGGATGGAGCGATTTCCTTCTCCTGCGCCTCTTCCTGGCCTCCTTCAAAGCCAGCAGGCACGGGGGGAACTTGATTCCCAACTGGAGCCTGGCCTGTTTGTCGCAGCTTTGTGGCAGAGTTGTCCAGCTCATTTGTCCTCTTCAGGCTGCCTTCGCCTGGGGTGCCGCCCGGAGAGCTGACTCCAATTCCTTTGGGCGAAGCATCTTTCAGCCGAATTGCTTCTGGACGGTTGAAGACGTGCACAGAAAGCCCCGGGAGGCAGCTGGAGGAAAACAAAATAACAGGCTCCCAACTCACTCCCAAAGGCGTGGCGCAAGAGGAAGGAGGAGCAGGAGGGTAGAGGAAGCAATAAAACTCCTATCCCAAAGCACAGAAGGCTAAAACCAGCCAGCCACTCTGTGTTCTGGCAAGTGAAAAGGGGGTGAGAGGTAATTGCAAATTTCCTGGGAGAAAGCGCCCTGGGCATCCCCTTCTGGGGAGTGTCCTCAGAGCCGGCCAATTTTTTTTGCTTTCTCTGGTTTTTCATTCAGACGAGCTTTTGGCACCAAAAGTGGTTTAACTTGTAGGACAGCTCAGAGGCTCAACCTGCTGCGTTAATGTTATTTTATTTCCGTCGCTTCAGCTTCTAGGCGGCTGGATTTTATAGAGGCAGAGTGGCTGACGGCATTTATATCTTCAGATAAATCTATAAATCTTCAGATATGGTTATAAACTGGACCGTTCGGGGCTGTGTAATCTCCCCAAGTCCCAAAGCCCCGTCTGGAATTTTACAGCTCTCCAAGAACAGGGACGACCTTTTTCCAAAGGAGGCATAAAATTTGTGGTTATATACTTCAGTTTAGTCCTCGTTTCCTGTCTTTCGGAGCCCTCCACCTTGTTCTTTTGGGGAGAAAGAGGCATAGACACTCGGTTAGGGGGTGCAGCGAGGCCTGCAGTTTCAAGCTATAAAACAGGTCACACTTCTGTGGCTGGAGATTGTTTTCCCCTTTCTAAATTGCATTTTTCCTCTTTTTATCAAATCAGCCGGCCAGCTTCGGAGGAGAAAAAGCAAAAATACTTCCCATGTTGCTATGCACAAAACGAGTAGGATTCGACTCGGGAGAGATTTTAATGATTTTTTTCTCTAATGTTCCTATTAGTGAAAGCAGTGCCCGGGGTGAACTCCACCAAGGGTGGGGGCTTTGTTCCTGCTGAGCCTGCTAGACAAGGGTGTCTCTGAGTGTGCCTTGAGTGAAGAGGCTCCTGGCTTGTCATTTTAAAACTCCATCCTCCTCTAGTATTGGGGATTTTTTTTTTTTTTTTTTTTAGTTTTTAAGGCTCACCTTTCCCTCTCATTTGTTCCCATCTTCAGTAAGAGGAAACATAAAAGCTCTGGGTCCTCTTTCCTTCTACCCCCCCAAAAAAACCTTCCCCACACGTTGCTGTGCCTCCCCCCCCCCGTCTCGGCTTGCTGCATGGATGACTCCTGCGGGACTCTGAATTTATAATGGCAACAGTCCCTGAATTATTAATAGTTTAATTTCCGACACTGGTGCCAAAGCACAGGAGATGTCAAAGGAGGGGAGGGGAGGGGGGCTTACCAGCCACTCTTACACACCCTGCTCTAAATCCTGCCCTTTATCCTTGGAGCCCTCCATTTGCACGCCCAGAAGTTGGAGGGGGGGGAGGGGGTCCCAGCTTGCTTCCCTCCATATGATGTTAATTTTACTTTCTGGGTGTCATCGTTATGCGTTGCATGTAGAAAGATCTGTGTGTTTCTATAATTTAAGGCGTTTTCCCCAGTCCAGTTCATGAGGACTAGTGCCTTGATGAGGATTCCAAATGCCCTCCAAGCCTCCCTGGGTCCAGTTCATCAGGACTGGTGCTCTCCAAGCCTTAGCAGAAACTCCAGTGCTGGGGGTTTTTTTGTTTTGTTTTAATCACTCAGATAAAACCCTGTGCCAGCATCTCAGCCGGCGCCTTGCAACTCAAATTTTCTGAAACCCTCCCCCCTATTTTCCCACACCACTTCTCTCCTCTCCCCCTCCCTCCCCCACAACCCCCCTTTCCCCCCCTCTCTGGAGAAGCAGAAGGCAGCTGGAGCAGCTGCTAAAATTAGCCCAACGTGTGGATCGAACGGAGGAGGGCCTGGAATATAATGTGCGGTTGATGAGAAGTAATATATTAAATTTATATCGAGGTGGCCCCGGGTAAAGAAAGAGATGATGGGGAAAAAGCTGGCTTTGGATTTTAATTGGCATAATATTTCATTTAATTACACTGTCTATTTTTGGAGGGTCCCACGTGGCTGGGTCGGTGGGGGAGGGGAGAAAATCCTTGTCCATCACCTCTTTGTGATCTCCAGGGAAGGAAGACCAATTTTCCTGTTAACTCCTTCCGCCAAACGGGCCAGGTGGGCATCTGACACGGCTGGGAGACCAAGCACCGGCTTTGCCTCTTTATTTTGAAATGAAAATGGCCAGTTTTTCCACTTGTCCGGCTGCTTTGCAAAGCCAGGGATTAGCTGCTCAGCCTGTCCCCCTCCAGGAGTGATTTCTGCAGATCCAGCCCCTTTGAAGCAGAGGATCCAGAGGATTTTTTTTGGGTGGGTGCCTGGCATGGCCAGAGGCCTGGCATTCGACACCCAACGGATCCAGATATTTTTGACTGTCAGAGACAGCAGGTAAAGGGCGACCTCAGATAAACTCGTTAGACTTGATCCAAAACTCAGCCTGTTTTCTGAGCATTTGGGTCCAAACCTGATGAGCTGAGATGCCAGCTCCAAACTCCTGCCCGAGCTTTAGGAGATGCCCATGCCAAAGGGCACAATGTTTTCCTTGCAGGCCTTCCTTTCAAGGTTCTCGCAAAGACCAGAGAAAGAGGGTGCTGGGTTCAAATCCAAGGGGGCCAGCAAGCCCACCAGTCCTTTCAGGGCCTTAATTCCTCCAAACAGCAACCTCTGTATTGCTGTCAGCCTTTGTTCTGGGTTTGTTTTCTTTGTTTATTGTTTTTATTTATTATGACATTTGTTTGCTGCCCAACTCTTATCTCACAACTCTGGACAGCTTACAAGATAAAAAAGGTTAATAGCCATTTGCAGTTTGCAAGGCCATCAGCTTGGAAGCCCCGTTCAAGAATAATTCTGGGATGGTGCCTGCTGTTTCACCCAACAGATGCCCTTTTCCGCTTGGCGATTGGCTTGTGGGCACCTCCAGCCCCGGGATTTCCCACCCGCTGCTTTGTTAATGGCTTCAGAGGCAGAATCACCTGGATTGTGTGGAAAAAAAGAGGGAAAGACCCCGTGCCTGGTTGCTTGGCCAGCCTTCAAAGAGCATTTTCTCCTGGGTGCTCTCTGAACTGGATTGTTTTCTTGCAGACGTTTCACGACCCAACTAGGTGACAACATCAGTGCTAGAAGGAGTGTTTGCAGCAAACCTCACGAGCGTTGATGATGTTACCTAGTTGGGTCACGAAACGTCTCCAAGAAAACAACCAAGCTCAGAGAGCACTAAGGACCCCACAATCCTCCTTCTCCTAAGCACTAATGATGCTACCTAGTCAGGTAATAAAATCTCTGCAAAAAAACCCACCAAGACCACCGAGGGCCCCTCATTTCAACCCCAAGCTATAAACACTCTCCTTCCTTGGCCAACTTTTAAAGTGACAGCAGGTGCAGCTTTCCAGAAGCCCTGCCAAAGCCCCCCCCTCTCCCCGCATCAATTTGCTCCTTTTTAGCTCGGTTAAGCCTGCAGCAAAGGCACTCCAAAGCAGCACCTCAGCGGGGCTGGCATGTAGCCGGGGCTGGGGGCTGGCTTGCTGGTGGGACAAAGACCCCCCCAGGAAGTAATAAAGCATTTCTGCTGGGCCAGGCAGAGCTGCATCTGTCTTCAGCCCCCTCCCCTTCAGCAGAAGGAAGCTTCCGGTCTGGTGCGGATGATGGGAAAGATGCCAGAGGGGAGAGGGAGGGAGAGGACGGTGTGCCCAGCAGGATCCAACGCTTTGCGGAATGGCAGTTTGGAATATTCGAAATAAAAAGGAAGGGTCCTCTGTTTCTGCCTCCCCCTCGCCCCTCCTGAAACCCCAGGCCCAGGCAGAAGGCCTGTTATTTCCACAGACCGTCCTTGCTGCTCCCCAGGCAGCCATTTCGCTCCCTGTCGGAGTCGGGGAGCTGTTTTGCCTGCGTTTTGCAAGAAATTCTCTCCGTTTTTCTGTTCTGGTCGGCTGGGAGCCATTGCTAAAGGCGGGAGGCTGTTGTTTTAATGAAGGGGAAATGAGGGGATGGAAGGGGCGAGGGTGGTTCCCTTTGCAAAGCCCTGCTGCCTAGATCTGGCCAAACGGTGAGGACTAGAAACTGGCCAGCCTACAGTATTCTCCTTGGCTAAGCTGTTTGCTGTAAACATCAGCAGGCCGTTAACCTGAGGTGCTCTGCCCCAAGGAGAAAAGGCAGATTCATCTCGAAATGTGTAATTTATTCTACTGGCTGAGCCAGTCAGATAGAGAGGAAGATACGATTGAAGAAAACAGGCCTTCCTTTAATTCAGACTGACCTCTATTTATTAGGAAGTCAAAGAGGGGAGAAGGGGAAGAAAATCCCAATGATTGTGCAAGATATCCATCCGGGGAAGCTTCCCTTCTCCTTCATGAGGACTAGAATGCTTCTCAGCTCCCAAATGCCCAGCATCAGCACCAGACATGTTTTTTTTTTCTTGAAACATCTCCAGTTGTAGATGGGGGCCGTGTTTTGTGGGGCGCCTTCATCTCTGGTGGTGGAAGAAAGCCAGCCGCCCTCCTTTCAAAGCGGGACAGGAAAGACGGATGGCTTTGGTAATCAGCAGACGGGAGTCCCTCAAAGTCTCCCGTAATGAGATTTTGATATCCGGATTTGGCTAGGCAGAGGGCGCTGATCCCTTCTCTGCTTGCGCATCCATCATCCTTTGGGGAGAACACCCAGACGTCCTCCCCACCCCCCAATTTTCTCCTCTTCTCTCCCCCCCCCCCCACCCCGGAGTCATTTCAATGGGTCTGGGCTGCTTTTCGCTACCCCAGGTGAACATTTTCATTCATTTTTTTTTTTAAATGCAATTTGGTGGAAATGGCCGCAGAACTCCCAGTGCTTTTAGGAATGCTTTGATGAGAGTTCCCAGACCTCAGAATGGAACCTCCATGTCCAAGCAAAGTCTACCTGAAGGCAAAAAAAGATGGATCCTCCCTTTTTTTCTCTTCTCCCCCCCCCTATATATAAGTGCTGAGTTTGGAGAGCTTCAAATCTTGCCAGCCTTTTCTCTTCAGCCAACGACTTTGTGCCTTTTGGGGCACCCCCGTTTTGTAGCCTGGGAGACCTTTTAAAAATGCATGTCTGGAACTGACCGAGGTGGGCTTGGACTGTTATTAGAATTTTTTTCCCCTTGGAGGTATCAAGGGGGGAGGGAGAAAATCCTGCAAAAAAGTCACCGCCTTGATGCAATATTCTGGTGCTGAACATCTCCTAAGTCCAGCGTGCCACCCTGAGGCTGGATGAGTTTCCTTGGAAGGGAAACTTCCAAGGAAACTCATCAACCTGGACAGTTTAAGATGGGTGGACTTCAACTCCCAGAATTCCCCAGCCAGCAGGCATCACCAAACTGATTTTTTTTTTTTTGCAAAAGGTGCCGAAAAGATAATTTCACTGCAACATCTGTCCATGCATAAAGGCCACTGCAAATATCCAACAAAATCTTCATTTTCTCTCCCATTGGAAACAAAAAAAAAATCCATATCATAAATTCAAGGCCTGGGGATTCTCGTTAAGTGAAGTGAAGGGATTCTGGCTCGGCCGCTTAAAATGATGACAAAGGAAAGGCGAGATATTTTTCTGCTAGCCAGAAGGCAAGGTTGTTGTTGTTGTTGTTGTTGTTGTTGTTTTTGAAAAAGAAACACAGACAAACAGAAACACTTCTCTGCTGTGTGTGTTGCTTTTCACATGATACAGCTATTTCCATCTCTGGAAGAAAAGAGGCAAGATTTGACCCTCAGTTGCCATGAGTACTAGCCTCTTGGAGGGGACACCCTGCCTGCTACAAGCCTGGCAGCTCAGGGAGGATGGCTGGGAAGGGCAGGCCTGGGGCTCCGATGCCCTGGTGCGATCTGGCAGATCTCTCTCGAAATCTTCCCGACAGCGCCTGGCAAGGCACAGCAGCCGCGCGGCTGTTGGCTGGCGCTGAGATGCCAGGCTGAGCACCCTCGGCTGCGGCGTCGGGAGTTGTATTTATAGTGGCAAAGTTGTGCCTGGCAGATGGTTCAGGAAAATGCTGACACAGTGGCAGCTTCTCGCTGTAACAAGGATCCCTCCTCCCTTTCACACGATTTCCCCGGATCTGGGCTTGACACGTATTCCCCCCCCTCCAATCACAAAAAAGTCTGGAGTTTTTAAAAAGAGAACAAAAGCATCAGAATGGCTGAGAGGGGGTCCCACAGCCGCCCTCCTTTTTCTACCAGCTTCCAGACCCCACCAGGGTTTTTAAAAACATCCCCATCCCATTTGGGTGGGCTTTAACCAAATGTTAGATGGAGGCACAGAGCAGGCCCTTCAACTCCCAGAATCCCCCAGCCAGTATGCTTTAAGAGGAGTGGACTTCAACTCCCAGAATGCTCTAACTGGCATGCTGATGATGGAATTCTGGGAGTTGAAGTCCAGGCCAGCCGGGGAATTGTGGGAGTAGAAGTCCACCTCTCTTGAAGGTGCCAAGGTTGAAAAGCACAGCTGTAGCGGGATGCCCGATCACTGCCCTCCTTGCAATCTAATCCCCAGGACCCACACTTGGACCCCTTGGTGGGAAAAGCATCCATTTCTTGCAATAAGGGGGGGGGGACACACACACAATGCTCCAGACCAATAGAGCCAGCCCATTCCCCCCCCCCAGCCTTTTCCCGCAGCTTCTGCAGAGGAGATAAAAATATAAATATGGAATTATTATGAAAGCAATTCCCCCGCCGAGTTCTTGCTTCTAATTATATACCTGCTGGAAAGTTCAGCTTCACAAGTGTAAGCAAATCCAGGCCTGGATTTTTTTCTCACCTTCTGGGCTCACTTGGGGAAGAAGCGAGTCTGGAGAGAAAGAGAAGGGGGGGGGGGAGAGAGACCAGGACGTGTCAAAAAGCAAGCCTACCCATCCAGATGTGTGGGTGACATGCAGAAAACAGATGCCGAGGAAGGCAGCCTGGCACTTGGGACTTGCTAAACCCCTTCTTTGCACAAACCTGCAACTGTGCAGTTTGTGCGTGTGTGTGTCTGTGAATCTGGCTAGGAGAGATGACTTGCTAGCTTGAAAGCCGCTCCATCATGAGGACTAGAAACCCATCTGGATCTGGGTCTTGTTTGCACTTGAAAAATCATTCTTATCTCTTCTTCGGGATTGGCTTGCCCTCTTCTTTCGGGAAAGCTCTTGGCAGCTGGCTGGCCCTTTCCTGCACAACATGAGTGTCCCTCCATAAATATCGCACCGTCTTCTCTCCCGTGGCCAAAACGGGTGTCTCCTTTCCCGCTATTTATAGAGCCTGGCATGGCCTGCCCTCCCAGGCCCCAGTCAGGATACTACAAATCCTGTTTCACTTCCTTCCCAGCATCGATTGCCTTCATCTAGTGGGGGGGGGGGCAGAGATTTAGCTGCGGAAGGAGACGGCTGCCCCACTGGGTTCCTCCTGGCACACCTGGGGCTTCTCTCGCCCGCTGGTGCCCAAAGGACCCTCCACACGTCAAGAGTGCCCTGCGCTTCCTCCTTTGTGACGTTGATGCCTCTGCCCCTCCCCTTCGCCCACCCCTGGGAAGGGAGGCTGGCTAATTGCAGGGGGGGGGGAGAAATCCTTGTGGGGAAAACTTCTCTTGGAGAAGCACAAAGGCGTTTCTTGTAAAGCTCTCTCATCATGAGTGCGTTTTGGACCCCGTGTTCTTTTCAGCCAAAGGGGGAGGCGGCTGGAAGGAATGGAGACCCCAAGGAGAGTTTTCTGGAGGGTAAAAGGGGGAGGCCGAGGCCAGGAGGGCTGGAACTGGACTTGGCCGTTTTTGGCCTTAAATCAGAAACGTGGTGCTGCGTGGCTTTTCTGCAAAGTCTGGACTAAACCCTCCGGCCAGGCTGACTGTGCAGGATGGGAACTATAGTCCAAAGACTCTGGAGTGTCTGGGAAGGAGAAAGTTGTCTGTTGTTTCAGATGGGAGGCGTGGCTGTGGAGATCTAATTGAGCTGTTCTGGAGTGAAAAAAAGAAGTTCCCATTTCGGGAGCCACCACCAAGAAGGCCCTGTGCCAAAGGAAGGACCCCACGCAAGAGGTCGTTTCTTGGCCAGCCTTTTTTTTTTTTAATGCCACCCTGGGTGTTGAACTGCAGCCCTCCTCTGGGGTCTCTCTCTTTCAGGGCAGGAGCATGCTGGACTCCTAGGCTCCCCTCGCCCCCCGGATCCTCTCTGCCCCCCCGGAAAGGATGGTCCTGACCTCTCCCCTGCCTGCTCTCTTTCTCTTCCTGGCATCGGCGGCTTCCTTCCCCAAAGACCTGGCTCCCTTCCACGTGGTCAGCGAGGCAGGTGAGGACAGCTCCAGACAGGCCTTTGGGGTCTGTTGCAAAGAGCCCACCCCTCCCCCCTCCCTTGGGTGCCCCAGGATAAAGGGGCTACCTACGGGTTTGGCTTCCCTTCCTCATGCCCCCCTGGACCGTAAACCCCAAAGCTGCTTATTTACAATCCTTTCTTCCTTTTTTTTTCATAGAAATGTGGGCTGGAGACCTCAGAGGTCTTCTAGTCCACCCCCTGCCCAAGGCAGGCGTCCGTATCCCATCCGATGCTCTTTATTATGTTTCCTCCTGCCAGGAACCCATCTCTATCCCTCCTTCCGTGGCTCAGCGGGAGAGAATGACTCCGACACTTTGGGCCTGGACTTCCAAAGCATGTTGCAAATTAACCAGACCCTTTTCGTGGCTGCCCGGTAAGCGAGGGACTGGGTGGGGGGGCATTGGGGGGTCTGGCCCCACCATCTGAAACTTCCTTCCCAGCAGCTCAGATCCCATTAAAAATAAGCATCAGGGTGCCCTTTGGAGAGAGGAGCGCTGCCTCCCGAGTTCGGAGCTCTATTTTCTATCCTTTCCCGTCACCGATGCCAGAGACGTGCGCCATGTGCGCTGGAGAAGAAAAGGGGGGGGGAAGGAAAGCTTTATTTTCACAGAACAACCCCTTTATTCAAGGAGGGCGGGCTGGCCATGGAGGGGTGGGTGTCGCACCCTGTTTCTGGGGTAGGAAGCTGTGCCAAAAGGTCAATTTGTCGGTTGTGAGTCGATGGAAAATTTCAGGAGTAGCATGGATTCCCTGCCCAGGATGGGTAGAACCCACCCCCCAAAAGGCTAAAGATTTGGGCAAAGCTTTAGAAAATGGAAATGGGCACCCAGAGCCGGGGGGGGGGTCTCCACTTTTCTTCTCCTCTCCCACCAAATTTGAATGCCAAGATTAAAAATTGGGGGCTCCTCCTGGCTCAAAAGCATAAATCAAAACTCTGGTCCTTTTAAAATGTAGATCAAGGCTTGTTTCTCTCTTTCTCTTCCTTCCCTCCTCCTCTCCGGCCCCTTTCTGCATTTTAGGGACCACGTCTTCGCTTTTGACCTCGGACAGACCACAGGCAGTTTCTCTCTCAAGAGGGTGAGCTGGATGTCCTTGCTGGTGCCCAGATCCCAAGGCTGGCCTTTGGAGACGAGGGTCGCCCCCTTTCACTTCCTCCCAGCCTGTAAACATTTTTTCTCAAAAGTTTTATATTGTTTTTTTTTTGTGGTTATTATTGTTTGACCTCCAGTGAGAAAGTTTGTTTCAAAGTTCACAGGAGGAAAAATTGGCCTGTCAGGGGCCGTTTTTCTTTCCTGAGTACCATTTTCCTTCACTGGTGCCCCCATATCAATTTTTTAGATATTTTTTCCACATTCCTTTCTTCCTTTTGTTTTTTTTTTGGGGGGGGGGGGTGATGGTCATTAAATGAACTGCCGCAAGTCAAGACCTTCATTGGGGGCTGCTGGGATCCTTTAGGGGGCAACCTAGAGATCCTTTGCATTAAATCTCTTCCCCAAACGGGTCCCTGCTGCTCTCCGCAATCTAACCCCGGGCTCCTTTGCCTCTCTCTGCCTTCCGTTCTCAGCATCTCACCTGGAAGACCCAAGACATGGAGAACTGTGCCGTCCGCGGGAAGCTTCGGGTAAGAGGGGCCCGTTCAGCGGGCACCACCTCTGCACCCTCGCCCACCCCTGCTGGGCAACGGGACTGACCTTCCTCTTCCCACCGCAGGACGAATGTTACAACTACATCAAAGTTTTGGTGCCCAAGAACGACCAAAGCCTCTTAGCTTGTGGCACCAATGCCTTCCATCCGGTGTGCCGGACATACAAGGTAGAAGCGAGTGAGGCTTTTCGGGGACCCTCCATCCACCCCATTGGCAATGCCAGGGGGGACTATTAGAGGCGGGGCCTCTCCCCTGGAGGAGGGGCCTTGATTGACCCCGCCCTTCCCCTTGGCCGCTAGATCAGCGACTTTCAACAGGAAGGCGAGGAGATGAATGGGCAGGCGCGATGCCCGTTTGATACCAAGCAGACCAACGTGGCCATCTTTGCCGGTAGGTTTGCCTCTGGACTCTGTCGCCCCTCCCCAGGCTGTTTCATGCACCGGGGGAATTAAATTCACTTTTCCATCCTCTTTAAAGCTTTCCTAAACTCCCCATCGCTCCAGGTTGTTCCAATGCTTTGAAGGCAGCGTCCCTGGGGTGAGGTGGGCAGCCCCAGAAATAATTTAAATATCGAGTTAATTAGGGGGTGATCAATGAACCAGGAAAAGTGTCAGCAGGGTCTACATTTAGCTAAATTTAGGGGCAGAGACTTGTGGTGTTTGGAAAAGAGGCTGGAAAAAAATGGAGAACCAGACCAACGAAGGATTTGAAAGAGAGGGGGGCCTGCTTCTATACCCTGCTGATAAGGAAGTTACTCCTGGATTCTGTGACACCCCCCCAGACCAGCCAGCCCCACAGATTCCCCCCCTTTTTCCCCCCTTTCCAGACGGGAACCTTTATTCTGCCACCGTAGCCGACTTCCAAGCCAGCGACACGGTTATCTACCGAAGTCTGGGTGAGCGCAGCCCCGTTCTGCGGACGGTGAAATACGACTCCAAATGGTTACGAGGTGAGGAAGTCTCGGACGCTCCCCTAAGCTGCCTTCACCCTCTCTGGCCTTCTGCACATGCTCAGAGACCATCGGGCCCTCCGCTTCCCAAAATGCTCATCCTTGCCCCAAATTTGTCGTGTTTTTCAGTGCTGTTTTCTCCCTGCAGAACCTCATTTTATTCACGCCCTGGAATACAAGGAGTACATCTATTTCTTCTTCCGTGAGATCTCCGTGGAATACACCACACTGGGGCGGGTGAGCGCCCATCTTGCTCCACTTCCAGAAGGGCCTGGAGAAGAACTGTGGGGTGGGGATCCCCCATTTCCCTCTCTCTATTTTTTCCCCAGTCTGTGGGAAAAAAGACAGCTGGTGAATTGGATTCAAGGCACTTGTTCAAATTCACTTGGTCCTCGCTCTTCAGAAAGTTCCCTGGTTTTATTTGCGGCATTAAGAGAGACTGCCTCTCTCTGTGGAGGCTTAACAGCCACCAATTGCCCTCTCTTCTCTTCTGCGTGCCTTGATTAATTCTCTTTTCATGCCGGAGAGATTGCATTGGGAGTCAAAACACGCTGCTCCTGTACACGGAGGCTTTGCTTTATGCGTGTTTTATTTTGTGCTAGGTCTGCAGCTGTAGGGTGTAAGGGTCTCCGGGGAAGGGATTTCAAGGGGTTTAACCTCCTGTCTTTGCCTCTCTTCCTCTGAAAATCCCAGGTGATCTTTTCCCGCGTGGGGAGGGTCTGCAAGAATGACAGGGGGGGCTCCCCTCGGGTGCTGGAGAAGTACTGGACATCATTCCTCAAGGCCCGGCTCAACTGCTCCGTGCCCGGGGATGCCTTCTTTTACTTCGATGTCCTTCAGGCCGTCACCGACATCATCCTGGTCAACGGCCGGCCGGCCGTCTTTGGCATCTTTAGCACCCAGTTCAACAGGTA